TACACTTTCAATTCATATTAATTAAAATATAGTACAAATTTCTGATAAGTCATTTCTATAAATGTTAGTTATTTTTTTAAATAATTAATATTTATACTTCTAATTTATATTAATTAAGGTATAGTATAAACTTCTAACAAGTTTATTTCTATAAAATATTAGTTATTTTTTTGAATATTTGGCTTTTATACTTCCAATTTGTATTAATTAATATATAGTATAACTTTTGACAAGTTCATTTCTATAAAATATTGGTTTTTTTTTTGAATTGATATTTATACTTTTTAATTTATATTAATTAAGATATATTATAACTTTTAACAAGTTCATTTCTATAAGATATTAGTTATTTTTTCAAATAATTAATATTTACACTTCTAATTTATATTAATTAAGGTATGATATAAACTTCTGACAAGTTCATTTTTATAAAAAGTTAGTTATTTTTTTTGAATATTTTAGCTTTCATACTTCTAATTCATATTAATTAAGATATAGTATAACTTCTAACAAGTTATTTTATATAAATAATATTTTTTTTTTTCTATTATATAAATAAATACATAATAAAAATTTGTTAATACTCATTCAGCTAATCAACATGGATAATAAAATATAGTAATAAATTGTATGAACTTAAGTTATTTTAAATATATTTATTGATAAAATATATTTATTAGTAAATAATAGTAATAGGAATTGACTAGTTGCTAAAAATTTATTGATTAAATTTTTTTAGTTAACTAAAAAGTAGCTAATTATAGATTATTTGTTATCGAATTATGATTTTAGCCAATAATTTTTTTGGCCAGAATGATAATTTATAGTTTTAGCTAAATTAATTAGTTGACTATTTTAGTTGACTAAATTATTATTAGTTGACTAACAGTCACTAACTCCTCTAATACTGCAATAATAAAATATATATTACATAATAATATTAATGAGCTTGAATAACTTACCTTTACATAAAAATATATCTAAATAAATGCAAATAGAATAATTTAAATAGAACAGTTTTATTAATATTAAATTAGATAATAAAAAAAGCAAATATATAATGAATAAAAGCTATTAAGACTATACAGAAAATTTATTATAATAATAATTTACAGTTTATTTATTATTCAAAATAGCTAGTTGTTTTCAAAACATTAAGAAATCTACTCCACAAATTATTTTTATTTTGTTTCCTTTAAATAAATTTAAATAGATAGTCATCGATAGCATCTTTAGTTCTATTACAATTCAGAACTCACAACTTTATTCTGTTCTATAAACTCTCAATTATGTTTGTATAAATATTAGTATTAGAATCGACAAAATTTTTTGAATAATTTACAGTACAGTGTGTTATATCCAATTTCTCCTCAATTCTCTAGTACTCCTTCCACAAGTCTAAATATATAATAGAATCTAGTATAATATTTTTTGATATTAGATCGAGTAATATTGTAGTAGTTCTATTATTTACAACTTCAACAAAATACTTTTTTGTATCTGTTCTCTCAATGTCTCCTACAACCCAAATCTCTTCTACTCTATGACTACGATGATACTTTCTTTTGTCAAATTTAGACTCATCAATTTCAACAATAATATCTTCTCTGCTAATCATAGTCTTGTTATTATCTAATGTATCAGTTATTAATTGTCTGAAATATTTCATATAATTAAAAACTATATTAGGTGAATGACTAGTCATATACAAGATAGAAGTATAAGTTGATTTGCAGAGTTAGAGGTATCTAACTAATATAGCTTCAGAATATATAATATGATTTCTTATAAAAAAAAGTCTTTCAGAATTGATACTGAAAAGGTTTGGTGATCTAGTGTAGTAGATAGATTGTCTGCAAGAGGTCTAGAGTTCAAATCCCACTATCAACAGAATTGAATAATTACCTAGACATCTATACCCAACTTACAGTAAACTCTGTTTGTTTCTAG